GCACAAATATAAGTGTTCCTCTCAATACTTGTCTCAGATAACCACAGTGTCATCTATTTCCAGGGGACTTAGCATTCCAGCATTCCAGCTTATATTCAGCTTTCTCAGTTTTCCTCAAAATTGTCCCCTGTGGGTCTTTTTGCAGGAGGAGCATCTTGGATATGATAAAGAATTAAACTTCAGAATATGCCACATTTTCATTCTCTTTTGCTATTGATCTTTTGAAGAGTTCATGGCATATAACTTGTAAAATGCATTTCAAATCAGGTGTAGTAGCACATAATTTACATTAAAATAAAGGTGCCATTATGAGAAGGAAATATATCCTTCTCAAGAAAACTAGAAAAACTGGGACTGGAAAGACAGCTCAGCAGTTAAAAGCACTTGCTGCTCTTATTGGGGACCTGGGTTCATTCCTGGCACTCAGGTGGCAGCCATCATAACTCCAGTTCTAGGGCCTTGTCTGGTCTCTGCAGGCATCAGGCCTACACATAGTATATAAAAACACGTGTGCAAAAACCTATACATAGAAAATTAAAAAATACAGAAACTGCTAATTGACAGGTTACACATCTGTTACATATACTTAATTTTACACCTGACATGTTCAAATTGACTGTGACTTTTAAAATCTATGAGTACTGCCAGAAGCTGTTTCCTACATCATTTGGGGTTGTTTTTCCGGCCTTTATTCTTTTTTAAGTTGATACACAAATTTTGTATGTATTTGGAAAACTATTGTTAGCTTATTGAGACAGTTTTACTGTGCAGTCCAAGCTGGCCTGGACTTGATATGTAGCCCAGGCTGGCCATGAGCTCTGTGCTGGCTCTTCTTCCAGATGCTGACATTACAGGCATGTACCACCATGCTTAGAGCAGGTTTGGGCAAACATAGCTGTTGTGTAATGTCCAAAATAGGATAAACATGGGACCTTAAACCTTTGTAGTTTTTTCCATAATGTGGAAACATTTAAAATTCCTGCATAGCATTTTATAACTGCACTGTACATGGTTCATGTCTGTAGTTAGCTTTGTACTTCAGGACATCTGTGCCTCAGATGGATCTTAGTGACTGTTGACGAGCCTTTCCCCACTCCACTCACCCTTGCTCAGCCCCGCCTTCCCACCATTCTAGCCAGTTCCTGTGAACCCTGATAGTTTCTAACATAAGCATCATCTTTGTTTATTAGGCTCTGTAGTTTTAATTTGTGTGTCTTAGGTAAACTACCTATTTGCTAAGATTAACTTTGTGATGTTAATAACAGAAAAAAACATTTTTCCTTTTAGCCTTGGAAACTTATTAACATAGCCCTAAATTTAGAATTATACTTTAGATGAGGCGGTTTGGGAATTGTGTGTGCGGTGCTGTGCCATCCCTCGGTACTGAACCCGGCCGGCACCTCTGCAGTCTACCACTGTGCTTCTCCTTGCCTGAGTGAGGTAGTTCAGAGGTGCTCGTTAGCATACATTGGCAGCAGTGATCATTAAATTGTTTGCCTTGGGGAAATTCAGTACAGTCCTGTTTTCCTAAGACGACTTTGCCTCTTTTTGAATCCTAAACAAAAGCTATGTGTATCCTCTTGTATCTTTGTGTCTGTGCTGTCAGTGTTTATTGAACGTTCATGAAAGGAGAAGGACCAATAAAACACTGCATGTCAGACGCTGTTGACTAATGCTTCGTGTGATTTTGATGTTGGCTTCTGTGTGCTGTTCTCATTTGTCTTTGTGACATGATTTTTTTTTTTTTTTCTGTTTTTGTCCTTTCTGTTAGCTTCCATCTACAGATGTCAGTGGAGGCTTCATTTATACACATTTTTTTTAATCTTTGCTGTTTCCTCTGGGGTTTGTCCATATTGATTTCAGCTGTTTCCAGGGAGTTTCCAGAGGTACATTTTAACCCTAATATTACAGTATTTACAGAAATAACCAACTGTCCCAGTATCTTTCAATAGATTGGGGATCGTCCTTTTAAGAGTGACTTCTCATTATTTGACTTCTAAGCTCAAGACTTGAGAAATCTTCTCAAGTCTATATACCTGATCTGTCTTCAGAAATATTTGCTTGGTGCTTTGCTTGTTACAAACTTTGTTCCTTTGCAAACACCATCACCTGGAGTGCTGCATGCAGTATTGCCATTTCTTCCTTCAGAGCCTAATTCAAATCTTGAGTCATGTGCTTTTTCCCTTGGTTGACTTTCATGTTGACTCAGATTCTCCATACTGACTCTTATCTACTCACATTAGAGAAGCACTCTATTAACGTCTGCCTGCTTGAACCCTTAGAGCCAGACAGGGTCCAGTGGAGCAAAACTCTGAACAAACAACTTCAACAATACCTAAAAGTTGTTACAGTGATGATCTACTGACCTTGGGCTTTTATAAACATGGGTTGTTCAAAAATTATTTAATCTCAGAATTTAGCAGTGTTGCAGTCTATAGAGTCTAAAGAAATATCCTAGGGTTTTAAATAATTGTCTCTTTCTGCCGCCCAGTTCTTACTCCAGATGCACCACTTTGAAATCTTTGACTACTCTATTTCATACTTTCTTTTAACTTTCTGCCATGAAAGATGAGAATTTAATCCTCTCTGTTTCTTTTTCACGCATAAATATACTATCTTCTTTCTCATGTTTCTCCCAGTAAAGCTCAGTACTCAAGTTTGTGGTGATATGTTTATTCCATATTAGGGTACTGAATATCTAAAGTATGTTCTAGAGAACTGATAGAGATTCCCAAAATGGGCGCTGTAAGATTGCAGATAATTCATTCTTGTGGGTCTGTTTCTGCTTTTTTATGTGTCTGGGTATTTTGTCTGTGTACCACATGTGTGCCTAGTACTCAGGCCAGAAGAGGGCATCAGATCTCCTGGACCTGAGTTACAAAGGGATGTGAGCCACCATGTGGGTGCTGAGTCCTCTGGAAGAGCAGCAGAGCCTGCAGATACTTCTGCTGCAATTGCTCACTCGCTCCTTGACATATATACTAGAGTGTCCCAGGAGTTATGTGGTCTTTGGCCTTGTCTATGTGCCCATAACTACTGAAACATTTACTGCATGTTCTTGTTTAGAATTTCCTTTTAGCAAAGAACTTTGAAAAATGTAAAGTAATGCCCCTCATTAAATGTGGTTTTTAAAAGGAAAAAAAAAATTTTTTTTAATTTAAAACATAGTAAGGGCCAAGTGAGGTAGCACATGCCTTTAATACCAGCACTTGGAAGTAGGAAGTAGGTTTCTTTGAGTTTGAGGCTAGCTTGGTTTATGTAATGAGTTCCAGGTCAGCAAGGGCCACATAGTGAGACTCTGATGAATACACACATAGTATGCGCACACACACAGCCAGCTAGCCAGCCAGGGCCACTAAATGAGACTCTGTCTGCATGTGAGCAGGTATGCCCTATGTCAACAATCAGGTGTGATGTACATGCTTATAATTCCAGCCCTCGAAAGGTTGAAGCAAGATCAGGAGAAGGTCAAAGCTATCTTCAGATACATAAGTTCAAGCACAGCCTGGGTTGTGTGAGACCTTTTCTCTGTCTCTTTACTAGTGTATAACATTGAACCATCTCACCACCTACTTTCACCATCTATTTATTATAGGGTATAAATGGTTTACTGTGCTTTATTCAGAAGATTCTTTTGATTTTACTTGAAAGGAAATCCCAATTACTTTTTTCTTTTGAATGAACAGATAAACCCCCCCCCCCAACACACACACACACACTTGGTTTAAAAAAGCAGTGATTTGGGGTTTTTGAGACAGGTTCTTACTACATAGCCTGGCTGGCCTGGAACTCACTCTAAGCTTGAAATAATCTTCCTGCCTCTGTTTCTTGAGTGCTGGGATTACTGGTGTTTGTCACTACTCTCAACTTATTTTTCACCTTACTATACAGTTGGAAATAACTTTTCCTTAATGTGTTTCATATGGCATGAAAACATGAAAGTCTTTGTGGAATTTATGTCAGTGTGCAGGAATTGTCTCCCTTTGTTCCTAGGAGAAATAAACTTAGCAATTTTATCAGCATTTCATCTTAACAAATGCATAGCAAATATTTGTGCATAGATGCTGTAATGGAATAGGACAGATTTCAAAAGAAGCATGAGACAGCCTCTACTGATTGGCACGGCCTTGGTAGGCACTCGCTTCAGTAGCTTGTACTTTCCAGCATCTAGCCCTATACAGGGAGAAGCAGTCTTTAGTTTGATGACTTAAGCATTGCAGAATTTTCAAGGGAAAGGAAAAAAAAACAATTAGGTTTTATGTGCTGGATTTAAAATATTAAAAGATAAGGATACTAGGATTACTCAGAGATATAAAAAATAAACTGCAGAACAGAGACTTCGAGTTCATTTTAGGAAAAACTAACATTTTTATAACTTGGTTTAGTTTTTCAAAGGAATTAGCATGTGTGACCTATTTCATTCTTGTGATTGTCTCAGTTGTCTTTGAGTTATATACCATGCACTCTGTAGAGATCAGGCTCTGAAGCTTTCAAATGGCACAGTGCTTCTGTATTAAAGATCCCTATTCTTGAGTACGCCAAAGTGGTTGCCTTTCTGATGTACAGAAGATGCTTTGGAGAATTTAACAGGTAGTCTGAAAGCCTTGGACATCATGAGACAAATCACTAGAAGAGATAAAAATTCTCATTCTGATTATATTTTTGAGATTAAAGTAAAATTTGAATTTACCTTCTTTTTTATAAAAGGAAATGTTTGAAGCTATTAAAGCTTTCAGGTGTATCATTTTACTGATCTTCCTACTGCAGACAGGTATTTACATCACAACTAAGTAAGAGATACTGCTTGGTGCAAATACGATTTCCTGGTGAAATGCCATAGTAGATCCGTGGCACTGATGGTGCTAGCAGTGACTCAGGTTAGACGGTGTCCTGGAAACAGAGAGCTTCCTGCCTCACTCATCCCTCCCAAGTTCACCATGAATGATTTGGTTACTGGTTTTATTTCTTTTTTTTAAATCCTGTCTCCCCTCTGCTTATAGGTTTGTAAAAGAATGGACTTGGTCTGTCAGAGGATGCTGAATCAGGGGTTTCTGAAAGTGGAGAGGTACCATAATCTATGTCAGAAGCAAGTTAAAGCACAACTGCCGAGGTACGTTTTAGCCAGCACTGCCCTTGGTTTACACCGGGATCAGGGTGGGCTTGCTTGGTGAGTTTTGGTTTTTGGTTTTGAGCACAGATTTTTCATATATAAGTTTTAACTTTTTCTAGCAAAGGACATCCCATCACAATAAATGCTATCTCTTGTCATCTGTTCTTATTGCCATTTTTGTTCAACATTTTATTGGTTGTTCTAGCCAGGGCAAGAGGCAGAAACTAAGGACCTGAGTGCCCTCAGTGTAAAGATGACATGTTCTTAGATACAAGGAGTACACTAGTAATGTGTTGTTAGAGGTAATAAGTTCAGCAAGGGTATTAGGTTATAATACTCTGAGATCAGCTCTATTTCTGTGCACTAGGAATAAGTAATATTGCCAGGCTGTGGTGGCCCACATACTTGGGAGGCAGAGCCAGGTGAATCTCTTGAGTTCTAGGCAAGCCTGGTCTACAGAGAAAGTTCCAGGACAGACAGGGCTACATAAAGAAACCCTGTTTCAAATAAAAATAAAAATAAAAATAAAAAAGGACCTCACAGAGACATACACATACAAGCAAAACATCCATAAACATAAATCTTTACAAAATAAAACAGAGTCATAAGCCAGGCAGTGGTGGTTCACACTTTTAATCCCAGCACTTAGGAGGCAGAGGCAGGTGAGTTTGAGGCCAGCTAGGTCTACTAGGATGGTTGGATGGGTGGGTGGATGGATGGATGGATGGATAGATAGATAGATAGATAGATAGACAGACAGACAGACAGACAGAGAAGAAAGAGTCCAGTGTGATGGTGTACATATGTAACCTTAGGACTTGATGGAAGCAGGAGGATCAGGCATTCAGTTAGGTACATTAGCAAATTTGAGGCCAGCCTGGGCTATAAGAAACTCTGTCTTAAAAAGAAAGAGTCTCAAAAAACAAAAATGAAAGAAAAGAAGGAGAACAGGGGAAGAGAAAAAAACATAAATAAACAACAGGGCATGTACATTTGTGAACTGGAAGATTTTATATTGTGGGTGTGACTGTTCTTCAGGTCTGTGTGTAATGCTGTACAGTCCTGATTAGATCTCAGCCCAGCACATACATATATTTAGAACTTGGGACAGCTAATCTTAAAATTCTTATGAAAGAGACTCAAAATAACTAACACGCTTTAGAGTAGGAGTGTTGGAAGAGTAATACTTTCTGATTTTCAAATGTAGTACTAAGGCTCAGTAATCAAAACGGTATGGTACAAGATATAATGACACATCGATGGAACGAAGTAGGGTCTGGAACTTTGTATACTTATTTGACTTTCAGTAAAGGTGACAACACAGTTCAGTTGGGAAAAGAATGATGTTTTTAAAAAAAATAGGCCAGATATGGTGATACATGCCTTCAATTTCAGCACTTGGGAGGCAGAGGCAGGAGGAACTTCGTGAGTTCAAAGCCACCTTGGTCCACATATCAAGCTTTGGGATGGTCAAGACTACATAGAGGAACCCTGTCTCAAAATAATGATTAATAATAATAAATTGGGATTTAGGGGCCAGCAAGGTTTCTTAACAGGCAAAGGCACTGATGACCTTAGTTCTATCTCTAAAACTCACATGATATAAAGAGAACTGACTCCCACAAGTTGTCCTATGATCTCCACATGTGTACACACACAATAAATGTTTTTAAAAATTGGGGCTAGAACAAAAACCTGTGCATATAAAGCTGGCCACTGCCACACTCTGTAGAGAAAGGATTATAGCTGGCTGTACTTGTTTGAGACCCCCTAGAGTACATAATGTAAGGAGCGTGGCTTGGCCAGCTAAGTAGCATAGTACACGCCTCTAATTTTAGTACTGAAGAAACTGAGGCAGGAGAATTGCAGGCTTGAGGCCTACCCTGGCTACAAAGCAAGCAAGAAGCAGCTTGAGCTGTGTGGTGAGGCCTGTCTCAGGAAGGCAGGCTGGAGCCTGGAAAGCTGGCTTAGCAGTTTAGAGTACGTGTTGCCCTTACAGAGAACCAGATTTAGTTCCTAGCACCCAGTGGCAGCTCAGAACTTTCTGGAACTCCGGTTCCAGTTACCCACTCTTGACTTCCATGGGTGTCAGGCACCCTCATGGTGTAGATAAGTACATGCAGTCAAAACGTTCATACGCATAAAATTAAGTAAATACTTTTGTAAAAGATGAAATGAACAAAGAAGGGAGACAACCAAGTTAAAAATTAATAGACATATTACAATAAAGCAGCTTTCCCCAAGTGTGTACTCGAGAAATTAAAATGTGTGTTCCTGGGCTGGAGAGATAGCTCAGAGGTTAAAAGTACTGTCTGTTCTCCAAAGATTCTGAGTTCAACTCCCAGCAGTCACATGGTGGCTCATAACCATCTGTAATGAGATTTGGTGCCCTTTTCTTACCTGCAGGCTACAGATGCAGACAGAATACTGTATAAATAATAAATAAATACATCTTTAAAAAAAAAAAACAGAAAGGGAAATAAAAAAGAATTTTTAAATTAAAAAAATGTGTTTTCCTACAAAAACTTGAAAGCAAGAGCTGATTATAACTCAGTGGAGCACTTGACTAGCATGTACACCTGACATGGTCCCCAGCACAGCGAAAGCACATACTTTCACACAGATGTTTTTAGATCTTCAGTCAGAGTCAAATACAGAAACAACCTGGTTGTGTAAAGTGATGATGTCCATGTATAAGGGGATGTTATTCAGCAGTGAAAAGGTCAGTGCTAGAGCATCAGTGAACTGTGTGAACTATAGCAAGTGTGAAAAGCCAGGCACAAAGGGCTACCCGTTACGATCCTACTTATTCCAATGTTGACAATAAAAAAGTCATAGAAACAAAGTAGATGAGGGGTTGGCAGATGGATGCGACTGATGAGGGGTCCAGGCTTCCTTTTTGTGTCCATGAAGGTGTGCCGAAGTTAGATAATGGTGATGGTTGTGCCACTCTGTTTAGTACGGAGTCTCCTGAGTGAACTACACACTGAATAGGATATCGCATTGTGCAGTGTGCACAGCTGCCTTCTAAATAAAGACATTCTGAGCACCACATGAATAAAACTGGTAGAAGAGATTGCAGGAGGTCAGTTTTATGGGAAAAACAGTCTTGTCTATGTGTACATGTTTAATTCTTTCATTTAACTGTTTTCGCTGATTCTAATAACTGTTTGGCTTGGTATAACCAGCAGAAGAAATCTGTTTGTGTGTGTGTGGGTGGTGGTGGTGGTGGTGGGTGTGGGTGCATGGGTGTCAGTGTGGTGGGATCAAACCCAGGGCCTCTTGGATACTGGGCAAGTGATCTGTCACTGAGCTACACTGCCAGCATCACAGTTACGGCCCAGTTGCAGATGTCTAAATTAGCGTGTTAAGCTTCATCTGTTTCATTTAGATACTTTGATTGGTTAACATTTTCTTCTACACTGCTGCTTTAATGGTTGCTACTGACTTTCATTGTTATTTTAGGAGGGAGTCAGAAAGGAGGAACCATTCTTTAGCTCGTCATGCAGACATACTTGCTGCTGTGGAAACAAGGCTGTCCCTGTTAAATATGACCTTCATGAAGTATGTGGATTCCAACCTCTGTTGCTTCATCCCAGGAAAGGTAACAGTGCCGCACACCCAGAACGCTGGGCTGGCCCGTGTAAGCTGAGTCTTAGAACCGTTAAGGCAGTTTTTGTGATGTCAGAATTTACTTCTCTAAATGAGTTTCTATTAGTGCCTATATTTAGCTGTTCTGTGCAGTTACAAATATGTATCATTTATGTGATCCTGACATTTAAGATTCTAAGATACACAGTAGAAGTGACAGACTTGATAAAGATTCATAGTTAAAACATTTTGACCTTTATGGTCAAAATTTCTGCATTGAACAAGATAGGGATTGTGCCGCCTTCAAGATTGTTACAGTTTGGGGAAGGTAGGATAGAGGGTATGCCAGGTTTGGTTTTGTTTGAGAAATGTTTTGTAATGATGAATTTACGAGTTTTCAAATTTGGCCAGAAATATGTATTGTGTGGCAATATACTGGAGTTAAGAAGTAGTCGGTCCTCTTTACCCACTAAGTATGCTGCTTAGTTACTAAGTAAGTCCCCTCCCCCACCACACTGCATGACCTGAGACTTCTAGGAGCATCCTCATTGTTGAGTCATGTGTAGATCAAGGGAGATCATTTTTCTTCTGGATAGACGCTGGTAAAGGGTCTGTTCAGGGGTGAACTTTTTAATACCTAGTGAGATTATTTCCATAAACAGTTTACCCCGGCAGTGTTGTATGGAGATACTGTTTTCAGTAACATCTGTTTTGATGGCTTACAATTTTATTTCAAATCTTCCTTGTTGTATCTTCATACGACCTACAAATGCTCTTTGTAGACACTGTAAGAACATGTCTACCTAAAAACTTGGGGTTCAGATTTTTATACCAGATCTTATCCATTAATAGGCCTTAACTGAAAAGTCCTTTGAGCCTATACGTTTTGTCCTCTCCAACAGACAGTTGTCACAGTGCATCTCACTTTTAATAATAGGAGCACTGAGACTCAGCTTACAGTTTCCTCCTATCAAAGAATATGCAGCCAGTTGTAACAGAAGGATTATGGCTAGATTGGGGCCCTGCAAAGATGAGTGTTGTGTATCTGTGCTTTACAGTAGTTGCCAATCTTTGGGTTCATACAACTGAAACATAGAGCTGTAGTACCTGAGCAACTGCAGTGAAGTCCAGTTGAGTTCTCTTTTTGGAAACCATTTGTTAGCTTCTCGGCTTAAATTCTAGTACCAAACCAGTAGGCAGCAGTGGACATATCTTATGGTTTCCAGATGCTGTGGGTCCTCGGCATTGTAGGCAGCTCCTTGACTGGATCTGCCTTGGTCCACAGGAGAGCTCACCAGAAAGGAACTTTGTATCACCTTCCTCTCAGTATGTGGACTTCTTCCTGTCCCCTTTCTTTTCATTGCTGCACTGTGCATTTATGAAGCACATCCTCATTGTCAGAGCACCTTCACGTGTGCTTACTTACCTGCATTTCCTCAGCCATGGATAGAAGATGGGACAAGCTGTCCTGATTTTGTCCTGATTCCTGGGCAAGAAAACTGAGGCCTAGGGAAATTGTTGAAGCAGAACTCACTCCACATGTGGTTTTCACACCCGCCGCTTCCTTCCAGCCTTCTTCACTACATGCCCATTGCTTCACAAGGATTTTTTTTTTCTCTTCAGCAAGCAAGTCCATCACTAGAAACAACAACAACAAAAAAATACAGTTTTTATTTTTATTCAGATACATATTTTATCATACTTAGATTTTTGTTTTTCTTAAAATTACCTTGTTTAATAGTTTATGTTTTGCCTAAAATAACAACATGTATATATTCAGTAATTTTTCTTTTAATATGTTGCTGTTACTTTCTGTATTTCTTAACTAAAATAGTTAAGCCAGGCATTTTGGCACACACTTTTAATCCTAGCACTGCAGAGGCAGGCAGATCTTTGAGTTCCAGGACAGCCATGGCTACTCAGAGAAACAAAACAAATAATGTAACAAGGTTAATAGTGTTTAGATTGTTTCATAATCATTCTCTTTAAAGATTCCCTGTCCTTAAACTTAACCACATACTATCTTCAAATAACAGAATATGGCATTTAATTTCCAGATGCTGAACTAAGAACTTTGTGTTCACTGTTCATTACTGTACCCTGTCCCTGAAATAAATAAACTTAAGAAAAAGGGCTCCTTATAACTCATAAATTTCATTTTCCATGGCTTTTTGGCTCTGCTGTGTAGTACAACATCACAGGAGCATGGACATTGGAGACCAGAGTGTACAGAAAGGAAAGTGGGAGAGTCTTCAAAGAGGGGGTTACAGGAGCCCCCTTGAGGATATACCTAATGACTTGACTCCCTTCCACGAGGCCTCAGCTTGCAGAGGTTTCACCGTTTGTTAGCAACACCTAACTGAAGTCCACGCCTTTCCTACATGGCCTCTGGAAGCCACTCCACCAAATCAAAACATTAATAAATAGTCTAACAAATTTTCTTCTTGATGTGTATGTAATCTTGGGTTAGTATATGATTTATAATACCCAAGATTATATTCCTGTAGATTATTATAATATATCCATTTCACTGAAAGTGAGCTGTGCAGTCAGCACTTTATTGCTTAAGTCAGTGAGAAAAAGCGCAGCGTAATTTAACTTAGGTTGCCAGACACTGCAGTATTGAGACTTCATCACCGGTATCCATGGTAAGGATCAGCACACGTTTTCTCTGTGGCTCTATAGGTCATGTAGATTTTTTCACAGGTGTTCAATCCTGAGACAACTGGGCTACATGGAGTAAATGAAGGGATTTGCTTTTTACAGACCAAAGAGAGTGATAGTTGGCCAACTCTGCCCAACACACTCATGGTGCATTCAGTTTCTCTGTGACCTAGGAATAGACCTCTCCTGGATGCATTTCTCAAATCCTCATTCTGCATATGGAAGCTGCATTTTGTGTAAGCTTGTGTCTGCAGCAGCATTTCCCACAGGCTGCTCTGTGCTGCATGATTAGTGGTAGTATTAGTTTTTCAAAGCAGGTTTCTCTGTGTGGTCCTGGAACTCATGTTGTACACCAGGCTGGCTTTGAACTTGGATCTTCCTGCCTATGTTTCTTGAGCACTGGGGCAAAAGGTGTGCGCCACCACACCCAAATTTTTTCTTTCCTTGTTTGTTTGTTTTTATTTTGTGGCAGGGTCTCAGTGTATAGTTCTAGCTGGCCTCAAACTCACAGATCTGCCTGCTTCTGGTTCTCTACTGCTGATTCTAAAGGGGTGGGCCACCATGCTAGGCGGTCTTCAGTTTCTGGATTATCATAGGTCAGATAAGGTGAGGGATGACCATCCAAATTGATCTAATATTTCTAGAATATTATGGATTTATTTCTTTTAAATTAAATTTCTTACAAAATGCTCTTAAACATAAGATCACTTGGGAGTATTGTTTCATTTTCCTATGACTAGTCCAAATTAAAGATGTGAATCTTTAAATGAAGAAGAATTGGTCTTTTAAAAAACAAACATGGAGCGGGGGTATCTGCAGAGTCCTGAGAAGGGTGTTGGGTGCATTGGAGCTGGAATTACAGGCAGCTGGGAACCTAATTTGGTACTAGATAGAATAGCCAGAGCTGTTAATGGCTAAGCCATTTATCCAGCCCCTGAACTTTTAGATTTCTTCACCATCCTTCTTAGATAACTAAGAAGTTCTGATTTGCTTTTTATGTGTTATAGTCTTAAATATCAGCAAATAACAAAGGCTCAGGAGACTGAAAGGTAACCAAATGAAACAGGGTGAAAACCTGAGGAACTCATGTAAAGCTAACTCATAAGCTGCTGTCTAAGTGAAATAAGGGTGTTCGGACAAACATGTGCTGTGGAAGGGATACGCAGAACCATTTTGATTATGGAAGACAGTTGGGAGGCAGAAGTTGATTTAAGGAAATCCCAGGTAAAAAGACAGGTGGATAACATAAAAGTGGGAAAGGATAGGATTCTGATAGAGGATAACCAGTAGATTTTAGAAGATAAACTTTTTTTCATTGTTTTTTTTATTATACTTTTTATTTTTTATATTAATTACAGTTTATTTAATTTGTGTCCTAGCTGTAGCCCCCTTCCACATTCCCTCCCAATCCCACCTTCCCTCCCACATCTCCTCCTTGCCCCTCTCTAAGTCCACTTATAGGGGAGGTCCTCCTCCCATTCTATCTGACCCTAGCTTATCAGGTTTCACCAGGACTGGCTGCAGTGTCCTCCTCTGTGGCCTAGCTAGGCTCCTTCTCCCACGGAGGCCTGGGGAGGTCAAGGAGCTAGCCATAGAGTTCATGCCAGAGACAGTCCCTGTTCCCTTACTAGGGAAGCCACTTGGACACCGAGCTGCCATGGGCTACATCCAAGCAGGGGTTCTAGGTTATAACCATGCATGGTCCCTGGTTGGAGAATCAGTGTCAGACAAGCCCCTGTGCCCAGATATATTTGGTCTTTGTAGAGCTCCTGTTCTCTCCAGGTCTTACTAACTCTCTCTTCTTTCATATGATTCCTTGCACTCTGCCCAAAGTTTGGTTATGAGTCTCAGCATCTGCTTTGATACACTGCTATGTAGAGTCTTTCAGAGGCCCTCTATGGTAGGCTCCTATTCTGCTTCTCGTTTTCTCCTATTTCCAATGTCCATCCTATTTATCTTGCTAAGTGAGGATTGATCTTCTTACCCTGGGTCCGCCTTCTTGTTTAGCTTCTTTAGGTGTACAGATTTTAGTATGTTTATGCTGTCTTATCTTATAGGTCTATTATCTACTTATAATACTTATAAGTGAGTATATACCATGTGTGTCTTTCTGCTTCTGGGATACTTCACGAAGATAAACTCTTGCCCACAAATGCCTGAAGACGCAAATGGTCATTGTTACTACTTTATAGTTGGAACATGTGATAGTGATTCACATTGGGGGTATGCCATGCTTTTTAAACACAAAAATATCTTTGATGATTTTATTTGTTACTTACAGTAGGTTGGGTTTGGTATATGGCATATTACTTGAATGGCATGCAGATAGTTGGATAACTTGCTTAGGCC